GCAACTCTACAGAAAACTGAGGGGTGGTTTAGGTTTGTTACTTTTTAATGATCTAATTTAATAAAGCATTATACTTAGAGAATCTCAGAGAAAGGAGGAAGATATCCTCCTCTGGACTCCTCTAGCCTATGAATTACTATAATTACTATAATCCTAATTTCCCCAGAGGCTTGAGGCTTGGAACAGAGACGGTGCTGGGTCCAATCTTCTGATGGGAGAGGTGTGTGCTGACCCAGGGCCCTGTACTTTGCAGTAGGGAAGTGTATCTATGTGTCTAAAGTCGTATTCGTTTTTCCTATCACCGAAAGTATTGTTTAATAATCCCAGAAGGTTACTGGAATCTCCTGAGATTCTTTCAGGTTGGGTCTTCTTTCCAGTGGATGACCTGCAGGCTCCGGGAGGCAGAGCCATCCAGGGACAAAATGAGAGCTGCAGGCCTGTGACTAGCAGACTTGCCTGAGACTGTCTTGGAAGTATTTTTTAAACTTCTAGAACTAGAAATCCAGTGAGATCACAGACTGTTTGCTGGGCTCAGGTCCAAACAAGGGGCCCTGTTGGCGCACTGCTGGGCAACACCATGCTAACGTGTGGATTGTGTTCTTCTCGTGTAAGGGAGTTGGAGAAGCAAAGGGAAAGTGCCGCCTCCGACATTCTGCAGAAGAAGCAGGAGGCAGAAGCCGCTGTGAGTACTCTGTCGGCGCTGCCCCGCCAGGCCTCTGCCTCTCTTGACCTCTGGGAGTCTTCCCGCTGCTTGTGCGGGACACAGGGCGCAGCAGATGCTCCCGCCTGCTCTAGCCCACTCAGTGCACGCTGGGGCTGTGTGCGAAACGCTGCGCACCCTGCGTGCTGGTCTCGGACCTGAGGTTTTGGGCTTTTCTTCCCCAACGGCTTCATTCACCATTTTAGTCTTCATATTGTTTCCAGGACGCAAGGCTGGGAACTTCAGTCCCTGTCCTAAAGATTACACACAGTTAGCCTCAGTAGGCTTAACAAGGGTTTTTAAAAAGTAGTGGGTATCGTCCTCTGTTTCTGCCTTTTACAGGCCATGAGGGAACAGAGATGTCCTGAGTAGATGGCAGCCACCCTGTCAGGGTCTCTGTGGTCACAAGGGCCGAAATGCGCGTACAGCACCCAGGCAGATGGCCTGAAGCAGGCCATGGGCTGTGTGCGCAGCCCAGCAAGTATGTGGCCATCTGAGGGGACAGTACAGCTCTGCCTGGCAGAACGGTGCCATGGGAGAATATGAGTCCTTTCTCAAGGGGAGCCGGAGTCCAGCTTCTCATGTGAAACCTATTTTTAAATGCTGACAACGTACTCAGTATGACTATATTGGGTCAGTGGAGCCTGCCCACCCATTCATGACCCCTAGAAGGGGGACTAAGAGGATCTTGCTCCCACTGGGGTCACAGGTGGGGCTTGTGGCATTTCAGGTGCATCTTTACCTGCTGACCCCGAGCTGTCTACTCTGGGACTAAGGGTTTCAAAGGGAGCCATGTTGGGGAGCCATGTTCTTGGGGTGTCCTGCTCTGTCCCCTAACCCTGAGCAGGTGTGTTGGCGTAGACATGGGCTGCATGTCTGTGGCCCTCTTAACAAGGAGGTAGAACAACCCCCTGGGGCCCTGACAGTGGTCACCCTCGTTCTTTGGCAGGTCCGGTTGATGCAGGAATCTGTCCGAAGGATAATCGAGGCAGAGGAGTCCAGAATGGGTGAGGAGGCTTGTCCTCTCGTGGGCCAGGGTGGGCGCTGGGAGCCTGCAGCTGCTCAGGGCGCGTGCCTGCCTCTGGCTGACCGAGTGTGTCCTCAGGGCTCATCATCTTGAACGCCTGGTATGGGAAGTTTGTCAACGACAGGAGCAGGAAAAGCGAGAAGGTGAAAGTGATCGACGTGACTGTGCCCCTGCAGTGCCTGGTGAAGGACTCGAAGCTCATCCTCACAGAGGCCTCCAAGGTACCACATGCCAGCCGCCATGGGCCACGTGCTCACAAGATCCAGACAGACAGAGGGAGCTGGGGGTGTAGGTTCAGGCCGACAGGGACGGTCATGGCCCCTTACCGTGGAATCTTTCATGTTGCCAACACGCAGTGTCCACATGGAGTGTTTACTCTGTTCATCCATCCATCCACACAACAAGCACTTACTGAGCCCCTGCTGTATGCCGGGCACAGCACAAACAGAACACGCACCTGCCTTCGTGGCATCGGCATTCTATTTGCTTTTGCCTTATTCCAGAAACAGTGCGAGGTCACTTGTAATGTGTAAGTCTCGCCTCTGGAGCCTGGAGTGTGGAGTGTGGACCATCCCGAACTAGCACGCAGGTTCGCTGAGGGGAAGCACTCCTGGCTCCCTGAAGACGTCGTCCAGCGTCTCTGTCTCGGCAGGGCGTCTGTGAAGATAGGTGTCTGTTTACCGTGAGGATGGGGCCTCTATTGAGAGGCACATCTAGGACGACACGGGCCACATTTTGAGAATCTCATTTCTTTTTCTTCAAGCTTCAAAATTTGCATCTTCCATGCTGCACCCGAGGAGGTAGTAGGGAGGAGTTCGTGCTGGGTCTCGAACTGTCTTTAGAGTAACAATCTGTTGGTTGCAGGCTGGGCTGCCCGGGTTTTATGACCCGTGTGTGGGTGAAGAGAAGAACCTGAAAGTGCTTTATCAGTTCCGAGGTGTCCTGCATCAGGTGATGGTGCTGGACAGTGAGGCCCTTCGGATACCAAAGCAGTGTGAGTAGCTGTCCCTTTGCAGTCACCTGCCGCGGGCAGAGACATCAGAGTAGCTGCTCAGCATGTGGGCTGATGACCACCGTCCCTCGATTGTCCACTGGGATTTGGGAGGCCAACTGATTGGGCTTCATGACTTGCTCAGAGCCCCTGATTTGTGCTCTGAGGAGGGGACTTTAGCCTTCACGGTGGAATCAGAGTGAGCTGTTTGCTTGTCCACTGCAGCTTTGCTCGCTGGGCAGGAAAGCAAACCTCCATGTTCCAGAAGCAGTTGATTCTGGCCAGTGTGTGCTCTGCCCAGTCACGGGCCCAGACAGCTGCTGGTAGATCCGGATGATGGCTGCACCCCTAAGTATTAATAGAAAGGAGCGTGGAAACGGTCACCTTCTGATAGCCTGTGTCTGTCTTGTCTTTTACAGCTCACAGGATCGACACGGATGGATAAACTGCTTGAGAACCAGATATTTGAAAGGCTGCAAAAAATCTTGTCCTGGGAGTCTACAAATTTGGAAGCAGGGAGAAAACCCAGACATCAGATGTTTTTATTTTCTATTATTCCTATAAAAGGCGATACCGTATCAATTATGTGAAAGAACATGCAGACACCTCAGCTTTTGTGGGTGCTGTGGGTAGGACCGAGGCAGCCCCACCCTGGACCAGACCCCAGCATGGCCCACGGCTGTGTTCCCAAGGATCATGTTCCTGGAGGGACGGGCCCTGGCCCCCTACTCTCCCAGGTCCCCCAGGGTCTTCAGCATGTGTGCTGGCTGCAGCCACCGCCCACATCTAGGACTGTGAACTCCTAACATCACACTGAACGCGGGAAACAAATGGAGAGGCAGGCGGGCGTTCCCACATGCCGAGGCCTCCAGATCAAGGGAGCATCTGTTTGGTCGACTTCCCAGAAACCACCTTTTTCTGCTGAAATATTACTAAGTGAATCTGGAAAGGATTGTGGGTTTATAAAACTGCTTTTTATCTGAGAACAAACGGGTTTGGAAAATTAGTCTCTTTTTTCCCGCTCCCAGAGCTTTTCAGATCATTCCACCAGCCCCTGGTTAGGGACAGCATGGTGTAACTCCTGGTCCAACTCCTGGTCCCTGGGCCCATCCCTGTCATGGGTTGCTTCCTGTATCCCTGTGGGAAAACGCCCTGCTGCCCGCACATGTGACCTGACCTGCGTCCCTCTGTCCCCGCCCCACGAGGCGCAGCCTGGTCCGCCTATGCCCACCCGCCTCCAGAACACAGTGCTGGGACCAGGAGAGGTTCGCAGGGACAGGCCAAGCATTGGGTGAGGGGAGCGATGAGACTGCAGGTCTGGCACACCAAACCAAGGTATGGACAGCAGCACTGGCCTGTGGCACCCAACAGGTGGCACCGCTGCTCCCCACTCCTGGCAGGGCCTGTCCCTGCACACACAGACGCCCTTTCAGGATGTCTGTGCTCCAGGAGCCTCTCTGCACCTGCGCACTCTGGATGCAGAACGTCGTGGTGTCAGCAGGCCCCTACCTTAAGCAGTTACCTGAAGAGCTGAGGCCTGCTGCCTGGGTCCTGGAAGCGGCAGTGGTCACTCCCTCTTGCTGACAGCTCCGAGCAGGTACTACAAGGCCGGCGGCCGCGACAACTGCTCTGGCCTCCAGCAGCCCTGAGCTGTTGCTAACACCAGGCTTCACTCCCTGGCACTGGTATCAGAATAATAGCCAAGAACCTCCTCCTTCCAGTTTCTAACAGCAGTTCAGGTGGTCCAATTCTGTAATAATTTATCTCCATCTTTAAAAAGTTTCTCTGCCCCACTGACAGCCACAAGACGGACCGTGTTGCATGAGCTGACTTGATGTGGCCCCGGGCGCCCTCTGTGGCAGGCGGTTCTTTTGGGCACCGATCTCTGTTTTGTTCGAAGTTGTACGGAAGGCACTCTCCTACCACAATAAACCTTTCCTGAAAGCTGAGGATAGTATTTTTCAGTTTATCTGTGTGTTCTGCCACAGCCCCCCAAGTAGCTGGGACACAGGGCCCCGTCCTTTGTTCTTCACTGTTCAGCCCCATTTAGACCATGAGGCTTAACTTGAAGCTGTGGTTCCATTTTCTGCATTAAACATTTGCTAAGAAATAGCACCCAAAGTGAAGAAATCAATTAGGATGTTTAGTTTCTCTTTCTTAACCAAAAGCACAATTTGGGGGGGGGGGCGGGCAGTCCCACCCTGCCCACTCCGTAACAGGAAATAGGAAGTCAGTCTTTGGAGTAAGGAAACAGAAAACTCTGAATGGAGGAGGAAACACCACAGTATAGAAAGACACTTTATTATGTTTGTTGCTCACTCAAACCAGGCCAGGAGAGGAGCTGCTCCTGAGAACAGAGACCAGTCTCAGCCATCTTGAGCCAGCTGTCCAGGCTGATGGAGGAACCCACTCGCCCTACCGTAAGGTCAGCCGCTCCCTCAGGGAAGTGCAGCGCTGGCTCAGCGTGTGCCGAAAGGACAGCAGTCCAGAAACCGGCCTCAGATGGACTTCTGTTACTGCAGGACCACTGAGCTTGTCGCGCCCAGGGATGCACGCTCCCAGCCTAAGGCCTCTAAACGTCACAGCAGACTGTTCGGGCTCCTCACCAGCTAGCTTGGCTACTGTCTAATCCCTTGTCCAGCAAGCTCATGGCCAGCGTTCTCTACGTTGGCAGCATACAGAAATACCCAGGGCCAGAGCCCGGGATCCAGTGCCTGGCCCTGGTGCCAGCCACTGCTGCCCCCATGTCCCAGAACCTGTCGGGCTCAGCGCCGCTGCTCTGGCCGAGGCCTGGCCTGGGGTCCCCGCTGCCCGTCTCTGTGGGCCCGGAGGCGGCTGGACATCCTTCGCATCACCATCCTCTGGGCCTTCAAGCGCTTCCGGAGCTTGTCGTTTTCCTTCAGAGTGAGGAAGAGTTTTTTTTTCAGGGCATCTAAGTCCAAAAGGGCGTAGCTGTGGTCAGATGGCTGCGTGGGGACTGGCCTTCTCAGCGCTGTGAGGCTGCCCGGCCGACCAGGGGCCTCTGCTGCTTCCCCTCTGTGTGGCAACACCTGAGGACAGAGGGGAGTGAGAGCTGACAGCTGCCCAAAGGCAGAAGCCACTATGGGGCGGTAGGAGGCCCAGCACCAGCCCTGCGTGGCAGGACTCACTTCCCGATGTTCTCCTGAAATACGCCCAAGTACGCCCAAATCACGGCGGTCAATTTTACTGCAGAAATCAAGACTACAGGCCGGGCGCGGTGGCTCACGCCTGTAACCCTAGCACTCTGAGAGGCCGAGGCAGGCAGATTGCTGGAGGTCAGGAGTTCAAAACCAGCCTGAGCAAGGGCAAGACCCTCATCTCTACTATAAATAGAAGTTAATTGGCCAACTAATATATATAGAAAAAATTAGCCGGGCATGGTGGCGCATGCCTGTAGTCCCAGCTACTCGGGAGGCTAAGGCAGCAGGATCGCTTGAGCCCAGGAGTTTGAGGTTGCTGTGAGCTAGGCTGATACCACGGCACTTTGTTGCCTGGGCAACAAAGCGAGACTCTGTCTCGAAAAAAAAAGACTACATACCCTGTTTGTGGTGGTTCTCATGTGGCAGGTATTTTGGGAACCAGTTTCCACTGTGTTTGAAGCAATCCTCTCAGGCTGAGACTGACAACCACATGCTGCCTTCGTACTCAACCCAGCGTCTTACCTGTTTGGTGGGGCCTTCAGCATTCGGGGGCAGCTGAAGCTCTTCGAGTGCAGTGTCCATGTTTCTCCCGGGGCTGTGCTCCTCAGCCCCTGCCTCAGGGAGGACCTGGGGACAGCAGGGTGCAATCAGGCAGGTGGTGGCCAGAGACACGGGATCCACCCCAGCTGTTCCCTGTCCATCCTGAGTAATCCCCTCACGCCATCTGGGGAAGCAGCTACAGCCAGGGACCAGCTCCAGGGTCTGCAGCAGCATAAACAGCCATCTTCTCCCTCCTACACACACTGGAACAGGAACCTCAAGGGACCAGGCATGAGCCTCACTACCAAAAGGGAATTCTCCAATATTGCAAAGAAAGCAGGAAGCCTAAGAGCTTGGGCTTCCCCTCGCTAGGAAAACGGCAGAGCCTCGCAGGCAGCCTTGCTGGGCAGACACTACCTGCTCTGTCTCATCCCACAGCATGATTTCAATGTTCCCATGAACGGCCCGGGTACCTGATATACCTTTTCTTTCTGCGAGCTGGCATTTCCTCTCTCGCCGGCAGGGTCTGTGTTCTCCCTCACCAGCTGCAAGAGACACACACGAGCGGATCAGACGGGCTGCATGGCTGCTTGCTTGGGAGGACGAGAAGACCTGCGGACCCCAAAATCCCTCACAACCAGGCGCAGGCCTCAGTCCCCTCATAGTCCCCATGCTTGGCCCGGTGCCTGCCATGTCTAAGGAGCATTTGTTCAATTAAACTGACCAGAGGCCTGGCCCGGCTCTCACCACCTACTTGGTGTTTTCCTTCTCCAAAGATGTCCCCAAATCATGGTCAGTGGCCCCTGAGCAGGTCCCTGTTAAGCCAGAGACCAGATTCATGCCTGTCACCCAAGGGCCTGGCATCCTGCCTCAATAACTGTTTGTCCCAGGAGTGGCAGAGCACTCATCTCACCCTTGGCACCACCAATGCAGACCCCGTAGTCCCCAGGCCTGCCAGGTGTGGTGACCTTAGAGCAGAGCCTGCCTGAGCCCAAGGGGGCCACAGTCAGCGTCTCCCACCAGCCTGGCAGCAGAATCACCAAGGACTGGGACTGCAGATGTCCTCACCCCAGTTGTTAAACCATGACCTTACTTCAGGGACAAACATTTTACACAAATATGTGAAAGTGACTAAACTGTACCCCATTTATTAACAAACATGCACCCACTTTGTGCCAGGCGACGCGCTGCTTGTTGGACATACAGCAGGGAAACGAAGTCCCGGCCCTCGTGGAGCTTACATTCAAGGGAGGAGACCGAAACCTGAAGGAAAAGCCAAGCGGAGCAGGTGCTGGAAGACCAAGGGGCGGGAGGGCCAGCGGGGCGTGGGGAGGGCCTTCCTGGAGAACTTGAGAGCAGGGACAGCGGCATGTGGCCACCTGGGGCATGTTTGCCAACACACATCCACCACGCCAGCCCTGCAGTCTGACTCCCGGCTTCCACTCTTCCACTCCGGGCTCCCTTCCCTGAATAAACTCAGCCAGCACAGGTGCCTGTGGCCTCGTGCTCGTCCCACCCCTGCTTTGCCTTCCTGTTGCAGTGGGTGCATCCTGTGTGCCCACACTCGGATTCAACAGTCCTCCCTCGTGGCGTCAATGTCCAGCTGTTTGTGAGCTCTCTCCTAAGCCAAACCCGCACACCGCCCCCACGCAGACGTGTCGACCTCAGTATCCCATGGGTGCGTCAAATCCACGCGCATGGGACCAAACTCCCCAGGGGCTCAGCAAGCTCCGCCTCCCTGACCACCCTAGCCTGCCAGGTCTGCAAATCCATCCCCGCGTCCACCTGCCTCCTCCCTGCACCCCACCTTCAGCCGAGGCCCAGACTGCACTCGGCTAGGACACAGCTTCCAACCGAGGCACTCTCTACCTGCGGCCAGAGGGAGCCTTCCAAAGCCACATTCGTCCCGCTGCCATGGACTGAATGTTTATGTCCCCCCAAAACCCCCATGTTGACACTCATGGCCCCCAACGTGATGGTGTTAGGAGGTGGGGCCTTTTGGAGGTAACTGGGTCGTGAGAGCGGAGCCCTCCTGGTGGGATTCGTGCCTCCAGGAGAAGACACGGGAGAGCGCCTGCTCCCCGCTCTGCTGTCTGCCACCTGTAAACCCAGAAGGGGGTCCTGACCGGAACCAGCATCGGGTGACCCTCCAGCCTGGATCAGTACTGTTCCTGAACGGGCCCAAATCTCTTCCACCGCAAGCCTCTGCCCACTGTCCCCAGCTCTCCCTCCTCCACTGCCCTGGCAACATCCTTCCGTTCCCCCGACCCAGCTACCTGCCTTCACCCATCAGCACAGGCCCAGCAGCACTCGGCAGGACCTAAACGGCAGTGGCACCACCGCCAAGCCCTGACGGCCTCCGAATGCAATACCGAGCCTGCTGGTCCCGAGCCCATGGGAGACCCAGTCGGCAAAACAGCAAGGACCGAGCTCCTAGAGCGTGCGCCACCCGCCTTCTTCAGCAGCATCCTGGTGTGGAGCATGACTTAAAGCGGCTTTAAAGTATGACTTCTTTTAAAGCGAAGGTCATGGCCAGCAAGGACACAGGGTTCTGGACCCCAGAGGCTTGACAGTGCTGCTTTCGCTGTAGTTCTTGGCCTCCACTTGGCCTGCAAATGCCACCCCCACCCCCCAACTGCTGGGTGGATTGTGCAGATCGGATCTGCAACAACAAAAGGCAGCCCCGTGTTCCTACCTGCGTGGGGTCCTGAAAGGCAAACACCGTGGGCACGGCGTTGTGCTTCAGGTTCTTGCGGTTCCCAAAAGCACTGAAGCACTCGGGCTTGAAGTGTTCAGAGCAGATGACCGTGTGCTGCTTGGGCTTGAAGTTGCCCCGGCCGATGTTCAGCACCCATTCCTTCAGCAGCTCCGGGCGGCTGAATGGGAACCTATGGGCCGAGGCAGGAGACGTGAGAGATCTAGCAGAGATGAATTCAGCACTTCAGAGTCTTGTAGAATGTCCACACCGCCACAGAGTATTTCACTGGGCAGCTTTGGAAATTCAGTACTTCATTAAATCACATCAAATTTCTGGAAGCTTCTATCATGGCTGTTCACAGCATCCTTAATAGGAAACCTGAGACCACGAACATAGCCCATGTGCCCAAATTAGCTGTTTTTGAAGCTCCATTTGCCAGGAGTCTTCATTCATTGCTTCAGGAGCCTGCCACGTGCAGGGCCCTGTTCTTGGTGCTGGGATGTGAGAGTGAGTAAGAAAGTCCCCGCCTCAAGGACCTTACCGCCTAGAAAGGGGAGATGAGATGGCTGGTAAACCATGAGAGGGCCGAGCTGGATGCATTCTGAAAGCCAGGCAGCAAGGTTTGCCTGCGGACCGTGGAATACAGAAGGAAGGTGGTTTGTGTTTCAGGTGGCAGTGGCTATAGAAGGAGCATGTTGGGGGATCACAAGTTTGCTTTGTATGTTAGGTGTTAAATTTGAGGTGCTTTTTAGATTGTCCATGTGCTGGAGTGGCAGGTGGACACACGTGTCTGGAGATGTCAGTGTGGGGGGAACTCTGCTTAACCCATAAACCTGGATGAGATCGGTGTCCTGGGCAGCAAGCTTGTATGAGGACCATCACTGGGCCGTGGCCCACATCCCAAGTGCTCCAACACCTATGACAAAGGAAGAGGGCAGAGAAGTGTCCTACAGGCCAAATGGGAAAAGCAATCCAGGGGTCAATGATCAGTTGTGTCAAATGCTACAGAGGCCGAACCCTGGATCTGGTATCATAAGGCTCACTGGTGACTGGACATTGCTCTTTTGTGGGAGCGGTGGGAATGGCTTCAGGAGAGAACAAGAGGCAACTCCATCCCCAGGTATATACCCAGTGGAAACAAGCAGATGCATGCACCAGAAGACAAGTCCCAGCAAGGCTGTCCAGAACAGTGTGTTTGTCACAGCCAAAACATGGGGCCACCCAAATGCCCTTCAATTGTAAAATAGATAAATTCCGGTATCTGCATTTAATGGAGTACTACGCAGTGGTCAAATGGAATGAACTGCAGGCCACTCTGATAGAAAGCAGACCACAGCTCCCTGTGGGAAGGTGGGAGAAGATGGTCTAGGTGCAGGGTCTCCGGGAGCTGTAACATTCTAATTCAATGGTGTTCACTTGGTGTCAACCCGTTGGGCTGGGTGTTTAAGATCTGTTCATTTTTCTGCATGTTATACTTCAATCAAAGCATTTATTACAAAACAGAGTGTAATGGGGAGGGGGAAGAGGGAATGCGAACAATGGGCTCAAGCCACTCTGAGGAGCTGTGCTCTAAAGGGGGCAGAGAAACCTTGGAGAAAGTGTGCGACATTCCCAGTGCCCCGGAGGGCGAGGACACGCTCTCCTGGGCAGGGCGGCAGACTGGGCGCGCTGGGGAACGGCGGTCCTGGGAGGGCGAGGGCAGACTCCTAAGTCTCCATCATCTCCCACGCCCCCCGCCAAGTCCCTTCCCCACCGCCCTGACACCCCTGGAGGGTTCTCGTTCCTCCACTGCAGCCGCCCAGGTCCTCCCTTCACGACAAGACGCACGGCGGGGGTTTAGCAGGGCGCCCGCACGCCGCAAGGCCGACCACCGCCCCACGGCGCATTCCTCCGGCCGAGCACCCGAGACGTTCCCGGCCGCGGCTGGGAACGCGGGCCGTGACGCCAGCCGGGCCATACACGCCCAAACCCCAAAGTCATTCCAGAAGGCCGTGCGGCCGCGGGCCGGCTGCTCCGCCGCTGTCCCCGCGGCCAGGCCGAGGCGGCGCTGGCCTCCTGGGCCCGGGACCCCGGCCCGTCCCCCGGGCCGGCGGCCGCACGTCCTCGGGCCTCCCCAGCGTCCCCGCTCGACGCGCCGAGGCCTCCGAGCTCCTCCGGGGGCCCCAGGTCCGGGCCTCCCGCGCCCCCGGCGCCCCGGCTCTCACCGGTGGAAGGTGAGCTGCTTCCTGCGGCTGTTGTAGCGGTTGCAGCACTGCCGGGCCGCGCACGACTTCGGCATCTCCAGGCCAGGGCCGCTGCCCCTAACAAAGATGGCGGCGGCGGAGCCCGCAGGGCGCGCGGGGCGGGAGCAGGACCGGGCGGGGCGGGGCGCCGGGAGTGGGAGGCGGGCCTGGTCTGGCTCCAGGGCGCGCTCACCCGGAGGTCCCCGCGACTCGCGTCGCCCCAGGGTCGGGTGGGCCCTGGGCGCCACGTCAAGGGGTGCTCCTGGCCACAACTCAAGCCCGAAGCCCAACCCCCAAGCTTGGGCCGGTGCAAGTCTCACCGTGGTTCGCTACAGCCGCTCCGCCCCCCCAGTCCCCCACGCAAGACACACCACTAACAGCCTGGGATCCCTGGAAATCAGGAAGACCCAACCCCCACTTTAGTCAATATGAAGGCCTCGAGAGGTGTTAATAAGCAGGTTTGGGCTCTGATGTCGCAGAAGGGTCTAGTTGGCCACTGTTGGTCTCAGAGGCCAGAAGATCAGGCACTAGGAACCCCAAGAGTGAACATCGGTGACAGTCCCATCCTGGGCTCGCAGCGCCTCTGGGGCTGCAGCCTCACAAAGCAGGTGCATCACTCGCCAGGGTTTAAGAAACTAATCCAGAATTTGACAGAGAAACTGAAAGCTATTCATGTCTACTCACACTATAGTTTGTTCCTGAAGAATCACTAGAAAAGTATTTTAAGAACCCTGGGCATTTTTGAGTTTGCTAAACACAAACTCAGACTTGAACTTCCCAGAGTCCTCAGGTGATCACAGTTTGGGGAGGTGATGGGAGGAGGAGAAACACAATTGTCCTTCAGCACAGAACACAAGCACCTGAAACTAGACATGAACCTCAAAGTAGCAATATATTTATTTACAAAATATACAGTTTCACAGAAACAGCTTCGCTTTATACACATAAACTTTAAAATTACACAGAACCATGTAAACGATGTTAAGTGTCTGGCCTGGCCAAAGCCCGTGGAAGGGGCCTACTTTAGGGGTAACATCTTTCCCTCCCTTCATTAGCCACCAACCAGGAGCCCCTGGATGGATCATGCCTAATTTGCATATAGAAGCTGATTGCAGCTGCCCAGCTCAATCTAAAACAAAAACAAAGGTGTCTGACTTTTTAAGACACCACCCACAGGGATAGATCTGTTAAAAGAACAAAAATGCAATCAAGGAAACAGAAATGGAGATGAGTATCAAATGCATTCCAGAGGCATCAAACCTTCCCACACATGTAACAATCATGTAACAATTGGCAGATTGGCAGTTCCACTCTAAAATCAGTCATATTCTTCACATGCACTTTAAAAATCTTATGGAGTTTTTTAAAAAAGAAGAAAAACACTTTGGAACTTTGGTTACTGTCATGGTGAGGACACTGGACAGGCATTGTCATGGGGCAGATCTTTGGCAAATTCCTCTCCGCCTTGTCCTGGATGTCTGCCCTAGTCAGAGCCAGATAACTGTCTGGAGAGAAGGTTGTTTCTAAACCAGCTTACTATTTTCTCTACAGAACATCTCCCTTGGTGAGCTTCACAATAAACTGGGTTTCAGAAACTTTCTCTCTACCTGTATGTTAATACAAGCAACAGAGTATTTTTTAAAAAATAAGACAGTTGACTGGACAAGTATGAAAGATTCTAGGACAAAAACATGAGATCTGAATAGCCAAATTATGGTCCAAACCCCTTGTTGCTTCAGTGAGAACGTGGGAAAGTGTGCCTGGTGGCCCTGCACAAAGGTGCCACATGAAGGGGAAGCCCCTGGCAGGGATCCCACAGGCCCATCCTGCTGCAAATAAACATGACTAACTTGGGGCATTCTTCCCTTTCCATGCCTTAGGAGAAACAATGCTTATGAAAACATACCCATCAATTTACAAAACATATTTGAGAACAAGAACTTGAACTGCTAAAGAGCAATATCAATTTTGGAGAAAGCTGAAGCCCTCCTCCCCTCCCAGCCCCAGAACCACCAGTGTCCCGGGTACACTGCCCTTGAACAGAGTTCTGCAGGGGCTTCCGGTGCAAACTCCCTGGCTTCTCCAGAGCTGGCCCTCACAGGGGCCTCCCCAGTTCAGGATGCTAGTGGAGATCTGAGGAGCTCTGCACAGTTCAATGGAACATTCCTGAAGGCCTCTGTTACCCTATCACTAACTCACCAACGTAAACCAAAAAGAGGACTCAAGTCCTAACCTTGCCCTGTGGAACCAGCAGGCCAGCCTGTGTAAAGGGCATATTAAGACCCACGCATAGGAGAGGCCTCCCTCCCAATTCTCCTTTACCCATAATTCAGAGGAACACCATTTGGGTTCCAGTGATCGCCTGTCCTTTATGTTGCTACCAGAGTAAGGTGAGGGGAAGAGATGAGGAATGAACCTAAATGCCCCCACACCTGCAACCCACTAGCCTAGGCCTCACCCCAACACCTCACACACCACCTGGAGAAAGGGCACTCAGCAAGGAATCGGCCAGTACTTTTGGCTGTATCGTGCAAAAAAACAGATTTTTTACATCGTGCAAAACAGGAAACTGAGTTATGAACACAGGCCACCTCAACCAACCAACCCCCCTTTCCACAGAGAAGCGGCCACATTGTCCCTTTTAACAAACAGAAGGAAACCTAAGAACCACGAGCTAGCCTGCCACCGCATGGCTCCTCTCAGAGTGAGGCCAGAGGGCTCCTGCGGAGGACCAGCAGCAGCCGAGGCAGAGGGCAGGCCACTAAGGGGCAGCTCTGATGGGTGCTGTACAGACACTTTTGGTAAAAGACTTAACACACAAGAAAAAGCTTACACGTATGGCTGTTCGTTAACAGGCCGGGGAAACCGAACAACTCCTCTCCCCAACACAGTGGAAGCAGGAATAACAGCTAGCACTTGTTCCAGTCAGCGGGAACTTGTTAACAATGATAGCAAAAACTCACGACTACCATGTACCCTTATTTTCAGCTGAACCAAACCCACTGCACTTGGGTGTTTAGTCCACCTCCACTGCAGAGAACACAGCTCTGGCAGCAGCTTTGGCCAACGAAGATTTTATTCGGTCACTATGTACAGTTTCTACCTTGGACAGCCTGTCCTTTTGCTTAGGCACCTGAATGGCAGGGATCTGCCCGCACCAGAGCGGAGAGTTCTGTGCTCAACTAAGAGAGGGCCCAGAAAGCCCGCCGTCCCTTCGGATTCCTGGAGGCAGCCTCCTCGCCCGCCCGTAGTCAGTCCAGAAACAGCTTCCGGGAGCCCATACGGGAGCGGTTGGAGCGGCGGATGTCAAACTTGGAGTCCCGGCACTTTTGGCAGACAAACACTTCCGGAACATTGGATTTCCGGATTTTGGCACAGGACAGGTGAATCCAGGTGTGACACTCGTTACACTCGATCATAGGGCGGCCTGCAAATGGCTTCATGCAGAAGCAGGTGACAAGGTCCCAGGAATCATCATCTGGAAGGAAAGAAACACATGAGGATGGAAAGTAACTTTCAGCCCCTCTCCACCAGGAAGCTGCACATCCAGCAAGGAGAGCAGCTGAGTGTTGACGAGACCTGTTACTCCACTAACAAAAATGCTTTCAACGTCGCTTAATGATGACACTTCTCTCTGAAAAACGCAGAAAATGGGCCGGGCGCGGTGGCTCACGCCTGTAATCCTAGCTCTCTGGGAGGCCGAGGCGGGCGGATTGCTCGAGGTCAGGAGTTCGAAACCAGCCTGAGCAAGAGCGAGACCCCGTCTCTACTATAAATAGAAAGAAACTAATTGGCCAACTAATATATATAGAAAAAATTAGCCGGGCATGGTGGCACATGCCTGTAGTCCCAGCTACTTGGGAGGCTAAGACAGAAGGATCGCTTGAGCCCAGGAGTTTGAGGTTGCTGTGAGCTAGGCTGACGCCACGGCACTCACTCTAGCCTGGGCAACAAAGCGAGACTCTGTCTAAAAAAAAAAAAAAAAAAACGCAGAAAATGCACAAAAGGCATTGAAGTGTGGGGCGACCAGCTATTACCCAGGAGATGCTTACTTATGAGCCACATGATCTTTATATTGTGAGGTCTGTCTCGAGGTCCCAGCTCTCTCTAGCAGCGTCAACCCCTTCCTGAGCCCCTAGGTATCCACCTTCCTGCATTTTCCTCCTCCCTGGAGATGGTGGGGCACTCTGCTGTCATAATCCATGAAAAGGACCCAACCCTCTGCCCCAGAGATGACCACTTAAAATAACCTCTTCTAACCACCAGCCAACAAGTGGGTCCACCCTTCAGGGACACTTACCTGAGTCCACCATTATGTCCTCATCATTGCCGGTGCTGTCCTCATCTCGGAACACCACCTGCTTTCCCTGCCGGACGATAGTCCGTTTGCCTTCAGTTTTTATTTCTTTGACCTGATCAGGTGACACCGTGGCACAAGATCCACTCGAGGGTGTGTCAGAGTCCCAGCCTGAGCAGGGGTCACTGGGGGCCTGGGGAATATCCTGCAAGGTGGGACTTGTGGGGGTCTCCCCGTACGGATCAGCAGCGTCCAGCTTCAGCAAGCCACCCCTGTACCCATCCTTCTCGGGCACGTCGCTGTCCCTTCGCTTCCTCTTCTTCTTCTTCTTCAGCTTGTCTGTCTTCTTTCTGTCCAGCAGGAAGTTGCTGGGCTTGGCTCGTTGCAGGAGAGTGGGCTGCAGGTGGCTAAAGCAACGGTCAGAGACTGGCAAGGGCACCGAGGACGCGATGTCGGTGAAACCAGCATCCCAGCCATCACTGTCAATGGTGCCAGCAGTGCTGTTGGCAGGGCTGGGGCTGCTCCTCAAAGGGAGTTCCTACAAGGATGGAGGCAAAGGTGGCGGGTTCTGATTACTGAGCCTAGCCCCGGGCAGAGCAACCCCAGCCCTCCCCTAGCCAGGGCAAGCCTCCAGCGATGGGTGCGCACAGCCCTGGGCTGCTCAGTTCTCAGAGAAACAGCAGCGACATTACTAGTTTAATATGACGCCACCAGAGGCAAAAACACCTTCCCTTGCTAAACTCTCAGCCAAGAAATCAGCCGACATTCAACAGGCATCTGTGGAAAAGACGCTACAGACGCCCTCT